TGTGGAAGTATTTCAAGGCCTACCTTCAAACTCAGTGCCTCTTTGCTTGACATCATGGGAAAATCAAAAGAAATCAACCAAAGAATTGTAGATCTCCACAAGTCTGGTTCATCCTTGGGAGCAATTTCCAAACGCCTGAAGGTACCACGTTCATCTGTACAAACAATAGTAAGCAAGTATAAACACCATGGGACCACTCAGCCGTCATACCGCTCAGGAAGGAGACGCGTTCTGTCTCCTAGAGATGAACGTACTTTGGTGCGAAAAGTGCAAATCAATCCCAGAACAACAGCAAAGGTCCTTGTGAAGATGCTGGAGGAAACAGGTACAAAAGTATCTATATCCACAGTAAAACAAGTCCTATATCGACATAACCTGAAAGGTCGCTCAGCAAGGAAGAAGCCACTGCTCCAAAACCGCCATAAAAAAGCCAGACTACAGTTTGCAACTGCACATGGGGACAAAGATCGTACTTTTTGGTCTGATAAAACAAACATAGAACTGTTTGGCCATAATGACCATTGTTATGTTTGGAGGAAAAAGGGGGTTGCTTGCAAGCCGAAGAACATCACTGTGAAGAACAGGGGTGGCAGCATCATGCTGTGGGGGTGCTTTGCTGCAGGAGGGACTGGTGCACTTCACAAAATAGATGGCATCATGAGGAAGGAAAATTATGTGGATATATTGAAGCAACATCTCAAGACATCAGTCAGGAAGTTAAAGCTTGGTTGCAAATGGGTCTTCCAAATGGACAATGACCCCAAGCATACTTCCAAAGTTGTGGCAAAATGGCTTAAGGACAACAAAGTCAAGGTATTGGAGTGGCCATCACAAAGCCCTGACCTCAATCCTATAGAAAATGTGTAGGCAGAACTGAAAAAGCGTGTGCGAGCAAGGAGGCCTACAAACCTGACTCAGTTACACCAGCTCTGTCAGGAGGAATGGGCCAAAATTCACCCAACTTATTGTGGGAAGCTTGTGGAAGGCTAACCAAAACTTTTGACCCAAGTTAAACAATTTAAAGGCAATGCTACCAAATACTAATTGAGTGAATGCAAACTTCTGACCCACTGGGAATGTGATGAAAGAAATAATTCTCTCTACTATTATTCTGACATTTCACATTCTTAAAATAAAGTGGTGATCCTAACTGACCTAAGACAGGGAATTTTTACTAGGATTAAATGTCAGGAATTGTGAAAAACTGAGTTTAAATGTATTTGGCTAAGGTGTATGTAAACTTCCGACTTCAACTGTATATATATATATATATTTTTTTTTTTATGGTGCACAAGACACCCATCTGATTCGCGCCTGTCTCAGTGGACTAATCCATTGGAGGCCACGGGAATGGCAGTCCATCACTCAAAGACATGTGATACTGAAATTGTAAATGGTTATATTATGTACAAATAATGGTGCAACACTAATAAAACTAATATTATAACAAAATGCGTCAAGATCGAGGGAAAGATGAACGGAGCAAAGTACAGAGAGATCCTTGATGAAAACCTGCTCCAGAGTGCTCAGGACCTCAGACTGGGGCAAAGGTTCACCTTCCAACAGGACAACGACCCTAAGCACACAGCCAAGACAATGCAGGAGTGGCTTCGGGACAAGTCTCTGAATGTCCTTGAGTGGCCCAGCCAGAGCCCGGACTTGAACCCGATCGAACATCTCTGGAGAGACCTGAAAATAGCTGTGCAGCAACGCTCCCCAACCAACCTGACAGAGCTTGAGAGGATCTGCGGAGAAGAATGGGAGAAACTCACCAAATACAGGTGTGCCAAGCTTGTAGCATCATTCCCAAGAAGACTCAAGGCTGTAATTGCTGCCAAAGGTGCTTCAACAAAGTACTGAGTAAAGGGGAGAAGACTGGTAGTTACAGTCTTGTCCCATCGCTGCAAATCCCCTACGGACTCGGGAGAGGCGAAGGTCGAGAGCCATGCATCCTTCGAAACACGACCCTGCCAAGCCGCACTGCTTCTTGACACACTGCTCGCTTAACCCGGAAGCCAGCTGCACCAATGTGTCGGAGGAAACACAGTCCAGCTGGCGACGAAGTCAGCTTGCAGGCACCCGGCCCGGAGTCGCTAGAGCGCGATGAGACAAGGAAATCCGTCCGGTCAAACCCTCCCCGAACGACACTGGGCGCCACCTCATGGGTCTCCCAGTCACGGCCAGCTGTGACACAGCCTGGGATCAAACCCAGTTCTGTAGTGACGCCTCAAGCACTGTGATGCAGTGCCTTAGACCGCTGCGCCACTCAGGAGGCTCTGTTTGTTATTTCTTATACATTTGCAAAAAAATCTAAAACCCTGTTTTTGCATTGTCATTATGGGGTATTGTGTGTAGATTGATGAGGGAAAAAAACTTTTTAAATCAATTTTAGAATAAGGCTGTAACTTAAAATGTGGAAAAAGTCAAGGGGTCTGAATACTTTCCAAATTAACTGTATATCTACAGAAATAAGACAGATTTGACTTCAGTTGCCTGTTTTGTTTGTTTAATAGCCTACTGATTCCATGAGCACGAAGCCTCATGCAACGTCAAAATGTTGGATACATTTCTCTCCATTAGAACAGACTGGTATTACTTAACTTAGTGTTGTTTACACTGTTCCAAACAGGCAGAAAAATTATATTATAATCGAATAGTACCTGTTTGTCACACATAATAGGCACGCAGCGCTCGCTCCTATACCCTCCTTTTTCTTGATCTCCTTCTTATTGTTATTACTACAATTATTATTATGATCATCATTATAATAAGTAATGTAGTTATCATTAGTAGGCTTTGTATAGTAGCCTTTTATAACCCACACACGCCTAAGAGAGCGTCCTGTTTAGTCTTAATACCGTAACTTACTTAGGCCTATATTTCAATATATAGGCTACTGTATCAATCAACCAATGATTAATTTGTTCATGCCAAACATACGAGACATTTCACGCCTTGAAATGCAATCAAGCATTTTAGTTTTAAAATTAAATAACAAAAAGGGAGCTTTGAATAATTAGCCTGAACAATAAATAAACTGCAATTCACGAATGCATGCAACAGTTTTTAAGTCTGCTGTAATAAAGGCTTTATATATTTATTTATTTCGTTAGAACAGACTCTCTGGTACACTTATTTAGTGTTGTTTAAATTGTTCCAAATGGTCAGAAAAAAAAATACAACTGTTTGGCACACATAATACTCACGCAACTCTTGCTCCTATACCCTACTTTTTCTTGATCTCCAGTAGTTTCCACAACTAAGTCAAATGTCTCCCTCAGATCTGACTTCCCCTTTCCCTCCGGAGCAACCAGTAAACACTCGCCCGTTTCGAGTTTATTTTGCACGTCCTCCACATCCATTTTGTTATAACCAATTTATTGATGTGATTATGATAGGCTATAGGTCAGGCCCTATTGGTCACATGCATGCAATGCTTACATGTTTCACATAAAGAGAGCAAGGGTTGAGGGAATGTTTTTCCTAAACAAATGAGTGATATCGGTAACAGAACTTGTCCGTCACAAACAAGAAAAACTAAATGGATGAAATTATGTTGGACTGTGCAATAAAACACTTGCTTGTTGTGGTGCCTTTTCACTGCAGCAGGGAGGAGAGCGACAACGTGCGTCAGTCACACAGGCACTCACTGTCATTTCTTTTAACACAGGGTGAGCATCGGGCTCGAGTCATTTATGTGTCTTAATTATTTAAACAGTGTGCTTAAAGCATCAGACAAGCTCAGTGGATATGCAGTTGATTTTATTCAAACACATAGGGTGTGTGTCTATATATGGAAAAATAAGTTTAAACATGTCGACCAATCGATTGATCTAAAGAACAGGATGACTCTCGGTCGACCAAGATTTTTAGTCGGGGACAGCCCTAAAAGCAACACCTCACAGTACAATACCTCTCCCCTACTTGACATAGATATTTTGTGTGTATGTATTGATATGTAGGCTATGTGTGCCGTTTTTACATTTATGTAGTTCTGTCCTTGAGCTATTCTTGTCTATTAATGTTCTGTATTATGTCATATTTCATGTTTTGTGTGGACCCCAGGAAGAGTAGCTGCTGCTTTCGCAACAGCTAATGGAGATCCTAATAAAATATCAAATATGCAGCCAAAATCAAGTTTCTTTCACATAATTTCAATTCACAAGATAGCATGAATGCAGGCATCAAGAATTGAACCTCTGAGATTCTTGAGCTTGGATGCTGTCATTGGATGTGAAGTAACGCACGCGCAACATGAGCAGTATAGCAGCTTTCATTGACGTCAAAGGAAGCATTCCCTCAACGGCTGATGTCTGACGGCAATGTCAGATGGCTGATGGTAGTGTAGCAGGGCCGTAAGACCTACAGTAGGACTTAATATCTCAGGGTTTCCAGTGGAGGCTTAGAAAGTCAATGTTGGATTCTAATTCTGGAGAAAACATTACTAGGGCCCTGGAGGCATTGCATCATGCTGTGCCTTCAGTGGTGATATTATCAGATGTAATATTGGTACAATTACGTCAAACAGCTGGCATAGAGTGACCTACTGTACATTCTGAGAGCATGAACATGCTTCTTATCTATCCGGTGACAAGAACTACGCAAAACACTTAACACAGCTCTACATCCCATGCTTTGACACTTTAATCAAACTTGCTACCCATAGCTACCCATTTACCATTAGTTTGATCAAATTAGTGCACTGTAGAATACAAAGCCAGTATGTGAAATATCTGCACCTGTGAAACGTATACAAACAAGCATAGACTTGTTAAATTGAGCCATCATAAACAAAATAACTATTATTTCTTAAAAGCAAAGTACTACCATAGCTCTCCAAGTTGGGTAGTTTGATGATTTATAGTTTTTTTTAAAGGGTGGTTGATGCTAAAAGCAGCAACATTGAGTGGCAAAAGTCTACATCTAGAAGTGTTTTGGCAGCGTAGGCCTTCCTCCTGTATCAATCAATGTCACATCTCTGCTCGATTGCTAGCTACTGACCTCGGCTAATGCGTTGCTTCTCTCCAGACAGGATTCCTGGTGTGTCAATTATACTAATACCCTGGAGGACCTGGTTAGGAATCTGGGAACAGATGAACCTACAGGAGAAGAGAAAACACAATACATGATTTGAAGAGCAGCTCCAGAAAACACCCTGATAAACTCATGTTGTCAAAACATATTCAAGACGTTTTCTTCCTCTTTTTTTACCCCATCCTTTCCCATTTCTAAAGCTGGTATGTTTTTGCTTTGGAGGAGCAGTGATTTAGCCATTCAGATCAGATCATGTGTGATGGTAACAGAGATCTGGCTTGTTTGGCAGATTCAGGCCAACACCGGTGATGTCTATTATTTTTGTCTGGGCACTTGTAGGCCTAGTATGCAACCATGGCATCAACTTAAGTGCTATAAATTCACCCATGTAAGATAACTGAGTTGGGGGGGGGGGGGGGGGGGGAGACATACTCCAAGTGACATCTTGTGTGACGCACATTAAATTCCACTGGAAACAATGTGCATTGTCAGTGGTTCCTCTGGAAAGGAGGAGATGTCCTCTGTCCTGTCAAGAATGTCTTTGACCTTAACTTGGCCAACTGTCATAGAAGTACTTAACCATTTCCCATGGATTATAAATATCTGGAAAAAGGAAACATGCTTCAGACAATTGTTGTTTAGCTAAAATTAATGCTAAGAGAACCTCTTGACTGAGCCAACAGAAATTCAAGACAGTGCTACAGCTACAATAAATGAAAAGTGACAAAGTCACTTCCCTCTCCTAACTGTTTTTGGAAGAAAATGACAGCTATGTCAAAAGGGCTGACAGGAAGCAATGGGACGACAATACCAAAATAATCCCTAACCTCTGCTTTTTTCAACATGATTACATCAACTGGATCTGCTTTGTCAATCACCATAGGACACAATTCAACCAAATCTTGTAACCACAGGGAGAGAAAAGCCCAATTGTTGCACTGCAGGAATGCAGGCTTGGACGAATGTACTCAACAAAACATGTTTATAATGTGAAAAAATATCATTTCAAATATGTGTTCTCGCTGCACAAGAATGACTTATTCAGGATGTTATAATGAACAGGGACCCCCCCCATGTCACTAATGTCTGATTTATGAGGACAAAGTGAGAGAGGGAGGTAAACATAGATAAGATAACAGATAATATGAACTCATAATTAATGACAGGGGGAGGTGGTGTCTGGTTGTAATCAATCAATACTCATATCAAAGAAAATGTCTTCACCTTGAGTTATCAGCTAGGGGGGCTGTTAGAAATTCCTACCAAGGCTCAGCTGCCTATTTATGTAATGGACATTTCCACATGCCACAGCATTTCAGTAACAATTATGTCACTATGTGGGTAACCCCTGATATTGAGTTGCTCTTATACCCACAGATATCTTCAAATTAAAGTTATGTAATTCTATGCTTATACCTGTGTAATAACACGAATTACTTGTTACAATATTGTTGTTACATAATAATGTATTAACAGCTTTGTGAAAACTATTTAAAAAGCGACTGCCCCTAAAAAACAACTAATCCCTTTGAAAACGGCCTGTGTCGCATCGATGAGTCAGAAACACATATTCTAGTGTCAAAATTGACTACAAAGTGTAAATAGGATTTTTTTGTCATGAAGTCAGTCTCGTCTAAAACTGAGTTTTAAACCTGAGTGCGTCACAACGAGTAAATGAAGGTTGGGTTTGGATTACAATTATGTCAACAATTCATGCCCTGTTTTGCAAATCACCCCTCTGCCCACTTTGCTTCCCTTCATTGAATGGGGCTCCGATGTTTCATCACCCCCAACGCGTTCAAAGGATCATGGCCATTTGAGACTGAAAAGCCCTGTATGGAATGACCATGCATCCGGCTCGGCAATGCATGCTTCCAGCAGGATGCACAGCCAACTATGGTTTGCATGCCCTGCTGAAGGACCCTACCGTGCGGAATAGGTGGTTGGAGTTTGTTGGTCCCCAATGGTGGTGAGTAGCTAGACCATATACTGCTGGTTATGTATATTTTGATCATCATTATCACCATCATCCCTAGCATAGCTACCCAACTAGCTAGCTAGCTGGCTAATGTTAGCCTACCTCAATACAACTCGGATTTGGCTTGGAAACACGATAACCTTTCAAAAGTAGGCAAATAATTATTAGGAAAACCTTTTGTCAAGATTGTGATATAGCCAGATTGACTTAAGATGCAGTAGCTATAACTTTAGCCAGCTAACTAAGATTGAGGGGACCACCGTATATTAGCTAGCTAACAGTATTGGCAACATTGCCATCTCTCTAAAGTATATTTGACGACATAATATGACAGTCGTTTCCTACTAGATGTAATTCCATGTCACTATAAGTTACTGTAATTTAGACGAAACAGTCAAATTAGCCTCCGATGTGCAACCCATGTCTAGGGCACAAATAAATATTGTATGCACCCATGGGGCGGCGCACAATTGGCCCAGCGTCGGGGAGGGAATGGCCGGCAGGGATGTAGCTCAGTTGGTAGAGCATGGTGTTTGCAACACCAGGGTTGTGGGTTCGATTCCCACGGGGGGCCAGTATAAAAAAATAATAATAATAATAATGTATGCACTCTGGATAAGAGCGTCTGCTAAATCACTCAAATGTAAAAAAAAAAAATTAAATGTATGGTGGTACTAGCTAACTCATGTGTGACTACGACAGTGTACTAACTAGCAGCAACAAACTCAAACCAACCCAGGGCCATAACAAAACATGTCACAGTTGGTTGCATTTTGTAACGGCGTCACCGGCCTGAATCCAATCTGGATCCAGTCAGTCGATATCTGTAAAGCATAGAATTACCTTCCAAACAAGATTACGTTATTTCTCTAGCTATGTTTACAATTGAGGGATGATGACAATCGTTGACCCTGTTTTTCTGTTAGACAAAATGCACAGTTGGGTGCCAGACTGATCCCCTGGTCATGAACGGATGCCGGGATCTACTAGAAGGAGCTAAGGTGGGTCTCATAACATGTCCAGAAATATGATTGCAATGGTTTAGTGACCTCCCAAAATCATTTCATTCACTGTTCACCTGCTATTTTCACAGCTTGTCAAGCAAGATCTCAGAACAAAAGTGTGTAATGCGACACAATTACCCTTGTGACACCTCTTCCGTTGTTGCCAAAGTCTCCCTCAACTCTTATGAGAAGGACACGGCATCATGAGGCCTCTGATAGTGGCAGGTAAGGTGTGTTATGTGAAAAGTTGTATTAAAAAATACCTTAATAAACTAGTAGGCTTATTCCCCAGCCAAGCAGATAGTGGCCTCATGATGCAATGAAATGCAAATTAATTACTTAAAAATCACACAATTTGATTTTCTGGATTTTTGTTTTAGATTCCGTCTCTCACAGTTGAAGTGTACCTATGATACAAATTACAGACCTCTACATGCTTTGTAAGTAGGAAAACCTGCAAAATCGGCAGTGTATCAAATACTTGTTCTCCCCACTGTATAACTAGTAGGCATTTTAGTTGTGAAGTGCACTAGCAAAAAGCTCTGTCCTTTCTTTAGAACAAAATGCAATTCACCATTCAGCCGTCTATTATATCACCCAGTCACTGGCCCCCTCAGTCAACACCACCTCATAAGATTGCATACTGCAGTTTTTCAAGAGATGTCCAGCTTGCAGCCAAACATGCAGCACAGAGAAGACCAGCAAGGAGGCCCTCATCAGCATCATGCAGACATGCTCTCGCTGTGAGCATTCCTATGAATGGAACAGTCAGACACATTTAGGTAAGTATCCGACCACCAACCTTCACCTGTCAGCAGCAACAGCTTTCACAGGCTGATCATTTGTACAAATACAGAAGGTAACCCACATTATTTTGATACATGTGATAACCCAATTGTGAAACATAATGTATCTAAACTGATATTATTTGTTGCTTATTTTCTACTTCCTAGATGCATTTAATGTCCAGGGCATAACCTAACCTGATCGCTGTGTTCACTATTCCATTTCACATTATATTATCTGAAGTGAAATAGAAAGGTGAACGCAGTGATCAGGTTGGTTCCACCAGGCTAATCATAACAACCATTGATAATGTAATCACGTGTTTGTGTGTGTGTGTCCAACCAGAATCTTTGATGAGGGGCCAGGAGCTGATCTACGCTGCCATGTCCTTCAATGTGGAGCTGGCAAAGACCTTACCTCCAGCCTCACCTTGTCTACTCACCAACGGTTGTCGATGGGGAGACCAGAATTAGGTAGGTTTAGTCTGACCTGTTCAAACTTCAACATAGTATGTTTGTCAGATATTCAGAGATGCATCTATGGAGCCAGCACTTGGAGACTTGCAAGATGGTGTGATGGAGTCCTGATCAATGGACAGGCTTGGTACGAACGTCTCTGAATGGAGAGAGACCTGGCACTCAACACATCCACAATGTGGGACTGAAGGGGATTACTAATAATACAGTACAGCAGAAAGGTCCAGTATTAGCAACACCCTTTTCATTCCATGTGTCACAAATGAACTCTGCATCAACTCTGCCTATTTCTACAGATGACTATAGATGCTTTTGCCAGACGCCAGCCTCAGTCATTTGATGGCGAGACCATCATTGGGTAGGTTTTATCTGACCGATTCAAACTTCAACATCGTACCATTTGTGTCAGATATTACCCATCCTAACATTGGTAATAGAACAGTGACTATGTGTGTACAATGAGGGGAAAAAGTATTTGATCCCCTGCTGATTTTGTACATTTGCCCACTGACAAATACATTTTCAGTCTATAATTTTAATGGTAGGTTTATTTGAACAGTGAGAGACAGAATAACAACAACAAAAATCCAGAAAGACGCATGTAAAAAATGTATAAATTGATTTGCATTTTAATGAGGGAAATAAGTATTTGACCCCCTCTCAATCAGAAAGATTTCTGGCTCCCAGGTGTATTTTATACAGGTAATGAGCTGAGATTAGGAGCACACTCTTAAAGGGACTGCTCGTAATCTCAGCTCGTTACCTGTATAAAAGACACCTGTCCACAGAAGCAATCAATCAGATTCCAAACTTTCCACCATGGCCAAGACCAAAGAGCTCTCCAATGATGTCAGGGACAAGATTGTAGACCTACACAAGGCTGGAATGGGCTACAAGACCATCGCCAAGCAGCTTGGTGAGAAGGTGACAACAGTTGGTGCGATTATTTGCAAATGGAAAAAACACAAAAGAACTGTCAATCTCCCTCTGCCTGGGGCTCCATGCAAGATCTCACCTCGTGGAGTTGCAATGATCATGAGAACGGTGAGGAATCAGCCCAGAACTACACGGGAGGATCTTGTCAATGATCTCAAGGCAGCTGGGACCATAGTCACCAAGAAAACAATTGGTAACACACTACGCCGTGAAGGACTGAAATCCTGCAGCGCCCGCAAGGTCCCCCTGCTCAAGTAAACACATATATAGGCCCGTCTGAAGTTTGCCAATGAACATCTGAATGATTCAGAGGAGAACTGGGTGAAAGTGTTGTGGTCAGATGAGACCAAAATCGAGGTCTTTGGCATCAACTCAACGTGTTTGGAGGAGGAGGAATGCTGCCTATGAACCCAAGAATACCATCCCCACCGTCAAACATGGAGGTGGAAACATTATGCTTTGGGGGTGTTTTTCTGCTAAGGGGACAGGACAACTTCACCGCATCAAAGAGACGATGGACGGGGCCATGTACCGTCAAATCTTGGGTGAGAACCTCCTTCCCTCAGCCAGGGCATTGAAAATGGGTCGTGGATGGGTATTCCAGCATGACAATGACCCAAAACACACGGCCAAGGCAACAAAGGAGTGGCTCAAGAAGAAGCACATTAAGGTCCTGGAGTGGCCTAGCCAGTCTCCAGACCTTAATCCCATAGAAAATCTGTGGAGGGAGCTGAAGGTTCGAGTTGCCAAACATCAGCCTCGAAACCTTAATGACTTGGAGAAGATCTGCAAAGAGGAGTGGAACAAAATCCCTCCTGAGATGTGTGCAAACCTGGTGGCCAACTACAAGAAACATCTGACCTCTGTGATTGCCAACAAGGGTTTTTCCACCAAGTACTTACTCATGTTTTGCAGAGGGGTCAAATACTTATTTCCCTCATTAAAAATGCAAATCACTTATTTTTTTTTATTTTTTTACATGCGTTTTTCTGGATTGTTTTGTTGTTATTCTGTCTCTCACTGTTCAAATAAACCTACCATTAAAATTATAGACTGATCATGTCTTTGTCAGTGGGCAAACGTACAAAATCAGCAGGGGATCAAATACTTTTTTCCCTCACTGTATGTGTTCACAGAAACATGTATGGAGCCAGCACATGGAGACTTGCAAAATGATGTGATGAAGTCCAGACTGACAGACAGGCTTGATACTGATGTCTCTTCTGAATGAAGAGAGACCTGGCACTCAGTATTAAAAGTTTACTAGACAACTTTTACTTGTATTGTCTTTTTTTATTATTGAATTGAATGGCATTAGTCAATATGGGGAGGGAGAAACCTTGTGTATTCTGCACCAGGATCAGGGAACTCCTGTTGTATTCGGGACACCACACAGGAAGGTATGACCACTAAATAGTTTGCCAAGGTAGCCCCATTACCACCAGACAAAATACTGATAGGCACAGTATCTGTATTTTCTGGGAATTAAAGGTGCACCTTGCTATATTGGCAGAACACTGATTCTATGGTATTATGTAAAGGTTTGTTTATTCTTCATGGAAAAGTTACTACATAAAAATAAAAAAATTGAATATCCCCATAAATTCAGCAATTGCATTCTTCTTATATTAATCTGTAGGCTACTGACCTATTCAAAGCTTCTTCCAGCATCTCACCATACATCTGCCTGTAGTTATTGAACTCAACCTCCAGGAGGTTTGTTGTGATTGAATGGGGGGAAACAGCTGCGAGCAAGGTTCTGTCTTGGTGGTGGAAAGGACACACCCAAGAAACACCCACATCAAACCACACCCCGAAGCCAACTCACGTTTGGCTTCTGTCATGGCCGCAAGCATTTCTTGAGGAGCAAGCCAAAAAACGAGGCCAAATCAGCGGGTGCAGTTCCCCTTTAATGTAAAGTGTTACCGGTAATAAACAAAAAACGGTCCACTTTACCTGTTGAGGAAGGAGTTGCCAAAGGCGTTGAGTTTACGGAAGGGTTTCTTGGGGTCGACCACCAGAGCGTTGCCAGGGACAACGCCCTCGTTCTCCCCGTACATGACAGCGATGAAGCCATCCGTCGTGGGCTCTGGGCCAATCCGCATGCCTGGGAAGTCCTGCTCCAGCAGGTACCTGGAACAGAACAGAGTAAGAGTAAATCAACACTGTGGACATTTCTTTTTTGAGATCAGCACTACATTACAGCAATATATCCAGACACTAGATACACCATATCAATACAACACTTCAAATAATGTTTTACAATGGACAATAGGACTTGGCATGATGGTTGATGAAGATGAGGTAATATAACAAAGGCAATATTCATAATCTGACTCCAACATGATTACAAAGCTCTCCGACTGTTGACTGAAACATCTGCACAAACACCAGGCCAACGCCTACTATTACTAGGCCTTTCTGTTTAAGCAGAACGACTAAAGAATACTTGCATATGCAAATTAATGTGAATATCACGAGTAAATACCACATACTATGGGAGTGCTAGGCCATCCGCCTAAAGCCAAAATCACACGGAAATATGCTGTCAACGGCGTCAAGATTTGCGCGCGAGAGGAGTGTCAATTCACATACTGTATAGCGTATGCCAACTTAATTGTCATGAGAATCCATAATAAAACAGTTGTATTTGTTATGTTCGCTATGTACCTCTTGTGAATTATTGTTGTGTGTTCCTTTTAACTCACCTTATATGTCCTACAGGAGCAACTGTACCTGCCTGCGCTAAACAGTTATGTTAGCTTACGAACGTGAGAAGAGTTGTAGCTAGTACACCCGAGCAGATTAGAAAGAATTTAGCTAGTCTCGTTTGTCTACATAACAGTATTCTCTCTTGAAAATTGGGGCTCCTCGAGTTTCCCAGCCGTAGCCTGCCTAGGCTATATGCCTATGATCAAAATCAACACAGCTAACCTGCAATTGTTTTCAAATATGTAGCATATTTGACTGATAAACCTTACATCCCAATAGATTTTAAACTACATCTTTAGTCTAGCATAGGGAAGATCATAATTCCTCTTTTTCTACAAACGACCCATGCAGTTTATCTGCTTATTTTACCAGCATTGCTCTGCGTAGACACGAGAAAAATAGACTTGCTTTCTAATTTGACGCGCTGTGACGCCGTAGATGCTCACGGCCTATCTGTTTTCTCTCATTCACTCCTGTGCATTCTAATTCCAGCGTGTACACGCATGTTAAAAAATGCTTTTCGTTTGATATGGGCTTAACTGGATGGCACATGCTCACATTTTCACCTGCCAAGGCAAGACACTTCAAAGGCTGGCGTAGTGCTTGATCTATGCCCCCCAATACCAAAAAAACAGAGCAACATTGTTTTTCCTGCAAAGTTCTGGCCATTCTATAGGTACTCAGCCCTTCCTGTGAGAGGATGACATTGTGTCAAAGGTATTCAAACAGAGGAATGCCAGCTTGCCTTGGCCACATCCACTCAAAGGAGAAGACATGTCTTTAGGAGGACTTAATGGCTTTCTACCCTAGTCTCATATTGGTGTGTGCCGTCTTGCCAACTCCTATGGTCATTGTTCCGCCAAACACATCACGTTAAGCATGACAATGACCATAGGAGTTGACAAGACAGCACAAACAGATCTGGGATCAGGCAATTATCAACTCCCCTGATTCATCATTACATTCCTTAGAATTGGGTGGGATCCTGTCTGATGTCTAATCTCCCGAGTGGCGCAGTGGTCTAAGGCACTGCATCGCAGTGCTAGCTGTGCCACTATCGATCCTGGTTCGAATCCAGGCTCTGTCGTAGCCGGCCGCGACCGGGAGACCCATGGGGCGACGCACAATTGGCCAGCAGGGATGTAGCTCAGTTGGTAGAGCATGGCGTTTGCAACGCCAGGGTTGTGGGTTCGATTCCCACGGGGGGCCAATATTTTAAAAAAATACAACAAAATAATGTATGCACTAACTGTAAGTCGCTCTGGATAAGAGCGTCTGCTAAATGACGTAAATGTAAAATGATGTAACTGAGCTCTGCAAGAATGAAATCAGCTGTTGTGTAGGAGCAGTACGAACACCAAGTAATCGTGTAGTCTACTTATGATAAGAAACTGTTTTCACTAAAGTTGATCTGGTTTTTTAAGGTAAAGTAATAAAAGGGATTTGACTAAGTTGAAACCATATTTCTTCTTGTGTGCACAATCTGCAAGGTGAGATGTTACCCCTGCAACAAAAAGGGGTGTGTTGACCTAATTCTCAGTATTGTGCATCTACTTTCAGAAGTTGGCAGACTGGAGTAGCCTACCAGAGGCACCTTTCCTAAAGATAGTGAAGCTGCATGTCCCATCTTGCTGCAGAACCTGCAGATCACCAAGTCACTAAACTGACAGTGTTCAAAATTGACATTGAGTCTGAGAAAGACTTTTATAATGAAATTATTCTTTCTCGCCTATAACAATTGGTTGTTCAGAGACCTGGAGTGCACAAAAGACCCAAGTTACAATGATATTGATGGTGGAAACTCGAAAGCAACCAATCAAGAACAGGCTGGTGGATTAACTTGTTCTCTCAGGGCAATGTTTCCCACCTCCAGTCCTTGAGTAACCCCAACAGCACACATTTTTTGTTGTACAGTAATGTAGATATACAAACTTACCTGAGGGCTTGATGATTAGTTGACAAATGGAATCAGCTGTGCTTGTCCGGGGCTACAACACAAATGTGTGCTGTTGGGGGTACTCGAGGAATGGAGTTGAGAAACACTGCTCTAGGGGGAAATAGTTAATACTTCTCAGCTTCTACCTCGTGACATAAAAAAAAAAAAAAATCTAAGAAGAAGCAGTTAGTGTGGCACCTCCCTCCCCTGATCTAAGGAAAAAGGGAAGTCTAATTCATGTTGTATTGAACGTGAACATGGAATATTGGTAAAAATAAAAAAATTAAGAAAAAAAACATCTACAACCTCAACATAATGCTAGATCATTTCCCAACACTACACATTAGGCTGCATCGGGCAACAACCTTCTCCATCAGTGGTTGTTTCCTCATTTACATTTTGACATCAATTCACCCCCATTTTGGCAGCTCAACTTGTCAAAGTACTTGCCTAGGGATTATTCAACTCAATAATTTGACAGGCAGACCCTGTAGGTAAAATACAGTTGTGACAAAAATGAGGATGCATAACTGTTGCAGATGTCTGGATGCACTACCTTATGAACGTTGTCTTCCCCGTAGAATACTGTCCAACCAGTAGAACCATTGGCTTGCTCTGAAAATCCGCTGCCTCCAACGCCGGTGAATGGAAATCATGGAAAAGATACGTTTCTTCCAATGGGAATATTTTTTTTGTGTAAAGTTGTTGAAGACCCTCCGTCACAGTTTGGTACATCTCGCCGTCCTTGTTTCTGCCTCCTTGTTCATTATTCACCCAACTGAACATGATGATGATGCTGCTGCTGCTCTTCTATGTTCCCAAATCAAGAACTAACGTTTGACTTCCTTATTTTCCACAGCTTTCAAGATTTGCGCAACGATCTACTTTGCATCCGAATATCTCTTTGGCAACTGATAAACGTGGCACCTGTATTCCACGGTTGTTTTCCCACTGATTGCTGGTTGCTCCTTTGCGCGGCGCAGTGGTTCACAGTTGTGACTCTGCCTTACCTGAACCGCACCGCCCTTCCTGCGAATGACGTAGGGGCATGATGACTGAGTTTTCAAGAGCGAAACATAAAAATTAAAAATATTTTTTTTTGTCATTTAGCAGACGCTCTTATCCAGAGCGACTTACAGGAGCAATTAGGGTTAAGTGCCTTGCTCAAGGGCACATCGACAGATTTTTCACCTAGTCGGTTCGGGGATTAGAACCAGCGACCTTTCGGTTACTGGCACAACGCTCTTAACCACTAAGCTACCTGCCGCCCTACTCTGCCCAATCCTGGTCCTGGAGGGCCAAAACGTTTCTGTTTTTACCTGGTAGTTAATTTTACTCACCTGGTGTCCCAGGTCTGAATTAGTCCCAGATTAGAAGGAGAGGATAAACACCAAAAGTGTTTCGGCCCCTCCCTAAAGAAATGCCAGTTCGATACAGCTACGACCAGCAGTTACTTTTTGTATCAGGTTAGGAGAGCATTTTCGCTAAACCCTTATGTAACCTGCTACGAAAAAAAGTAACTTCCGGTCATAAATGGCGTGTTTTTAGGGAATCTCAGGACCAGGATTTGGCAGCCCTGCTCTAGCCCACTTAATTTCAATGACATTGTTATAAGGGCAATACAGTTTTCCAAGTCAAACCGGTCATACAGAATGTGTAATTGTGTCAGCTATACATGACACATCTCTACCTGCAACTATCTAAACACTACAGTTCACTGAACGTGTCTGCTCTTGTAACACGTTGTCAGGTTTTCCTGAAATGTCACGTGGCGGTTGTCGCCTACCCTTGGTGGAAAATATACTGTAGTAATCTACAGTAGTAGACCTATGCTTCTGTACTATCCTGACATCTAGTGGAAGGAGAATATATACTTTTTCCTATGGAGCAGTGGTCACCTTATCCTGGAGAGCTAGCTACAGTCTGCGCAAACTTTTGTCCAGCACATCACGGCCAATCCTAACTAAACATATCATCAACACTTCAATTAACCAACTTGTGAGCACTGTAGTTTCATTGATTCAAAAGAGTCAAAAGTGTGGCAGATCAGTGCCAGTCATATAATAAAAGTAGACAAAGTAGGCATTACTAGATATTATGATTAGAACTTTAAGCAGCCATTCCATCTACACCTCCACATTTTAGCTCCCATTGCCTATACCTATACAACTGACTCAGGATCATCTCCCACCCCAGCTCTTTAAGTCAAACATCAAACTACCCAGGGGGCATAGGCCATCGACGACTCCTCTCCATCGCACTTTGTCCTGGGCTGTCTTGTCTATCTTGTTCCATCCCATGCCTGATCTTTTGGGATCTGCTTCAAGCTCCCACCTCCAGGTGTTTCTCTGGTGCACACTTTTCAGATTCCATTGTGGGTTCCAGGATAGAGCTTGCCTGGTGATGTTGGAGGCTTTCAGAGGGTGTGGCCAAACCATCTCCATCTTTGGATCTCCTCCTCCACAGGAACCAAACATCACAGCCAAGAGACAAATTCAAGTTCTCTTTAACAATTTTAATATTACACATTCAAAACACAACTTGTGCAAATAACATTCTCCACCAACCATCACGAAAACAAGTCCAATTTGTCACTTTATGTCTCAGCTCAATCAACATGGTTGGAGTTTTAATAAGGCATTTTGCTTTCCCAACTGTAAAAAAAAAAATTGCATGATGCACAGCATCCGTTTTGAACATTACAAAAACAATGTGTAAGGTATTGGTACAAAAAGCGGTATAGAAGTAATTTACAGATCTATATAGATCTTCAGAAATGAAAGGCTATTCCTATTGTTAACTCGACGAAGCAGTGGCATTTCTATACCAGTGTGTATCCATTCCTTTGTGCCATATTTGTGTCTGAAATGGCACCTGAATCCCTATATAGCGCACTACTTTTGTCCAGCTCTGGCCAAAAATAGTGCACCATATAGGGAATGGGATGCCATTTCAGATGCAGACTTTGCATGTTGCCCAAGTGCCAGGTCCACTAAAACCAAATCTGAAATAAGAGACTGTAGCCTTCACACAAAACACTACTACTCACACAACGCCTGTTAATAAAAGCTTGTCGATCAACAACGTTCTCCAACACATTCACAACACTGGATACATACATACTATACGTTACATTCTGTACTTTAACAATGCAATAATATGACCAAACTTCACCAGAAATGCAAACACAACATACACAACCACGTAATGTATTGTATCTCCTTATCCAACATGTAATGTGGGATTGTCTCTTCTGGCTTTAATTTAGAAATGTTTCATCAAACAAAGTCAAGTCGGAGTTCTCCTTAGTGATATTTGATATCTCCTGTAATATTTGTCTGTACCTCGACTTGCGTTGGATGATGTGCTGTCCCACTCACGTTCTTCAAGGCAGAAATGATTCATGTCTAAGTAAATGTATTCACTATCTCCATTCTATATATTAAGTTTTGGTAGATTGCCATGCATACATACATACATACATACATACATACATACATATATATTGGGTCCATGTAGTTTGATGATGGTTACATCCTGATAACTTGGGTTAGAATGATCCACTCTCCATGCCATTTATACCTATCCCTGCTGTGAGTAATATAGGCATTCTTTAGACTTATACAACGGGTGGGTCTAATCCTGGACACTGATTGGTTAAAACCACATTCCAGCCGGTGTCTATTCCACAAGTTACCACCGGCTAAAACTATGACGTTGAAATGCCTATTTACTCTGTTCCATCTCACTGCGCAGCAATCCACTGTCTCATCAGCCCAGCCAGACAATTTATAAACTTGATCTCCACTGTAAAAAGCATCTAGACATTATCTCCCATTTCTTTTAGACTAGCAATTGGTTTTCAACAGCGGAGATTTGTATAAACCTTGCTGTCTGTCTCTCTGACATTTGCAACATTGTTTCAATATTGAAATTCGATCTCCAGCTGTCCCATAGTAATGAACGTGGGGGGTCGGGAGTCGGGACGATACAGACAGCTTTTCTCAGCCAGTCGAAATCATGAATCAGCATATTTCTTATGGATATATGCAAAGAAATGTCAATAGAAAACAGGTCAAATGAAATGCCGCTAGTTTGCAGTCTTTCCAGTTTCAGTTTGAAGTGATTGTGTTAGTTGTGTTAATAATAATAATATAATATGCCATTTAGCAGACGCTTTTATCCAAAGCGACTTACAGTCATGCGTGCATACATTTTTACGTATGGGTGGTCCCGGGGATCGAACCCACTACCTTGGCGTTACAAGCGCCGTGCTCTACCAGCTGAGCTACAGAGGACCAGCTCCTCTGAACAACAGTGCCCTGACGAGAGAGCACATTTTCTATGCCAGGTGAAATTGCCCATCATTAGCTCATTGTTATGGATGTATCCAAATAACTTCACTAGAAAACAGCTTAAACAAATGCAAATGCAGCTACGTTGATGTTATTCTAGATGCACTGTTTGACGTGACTGTGTTAGCTAAAGTTGGCTAGCTAGCAAGCAAGGGATAAGAACGTTGCCAGCCATCATGGCAACTGAACATTTAGAATGAACGACTGGGCCGCGTCCATAGATTTATAACATAAATACTTAACAACTGGGTTGTGTCTCTGGCAACCGAACCGATAGAACGAATGATCAGCTGGCTTGGGTAGCAACCCTAGATTTCTGTCGGGACTATATCTCGTAGAAGGATGAATCAGTATGAATAAATTAATCAAAATAACGTTTTTAATGAAAATATGTCAATCATTATTTGAATATGTTGGTAACGCATTGTATAAAAGTGATAATGCCCTCGAAGCCAGTGTTTGGAGGATATATTGGCACGGTTTGCCTAACAACACCCGTGCAAATATATCCTCCAAACACTGGCTTCGAGGGCATTATCACTTAATTAAACCACCATGCTCACTGCTCTAGTTAACATTCAGCCTGGTTGCGACTGGTGACATATCTCCCTTGTTGAAAAATAATCCTCACCTCTCTGGTGAGCAACACAGGGACCAAAGGCCACTGCTCTGAGGTCCACCCAGCTCTTTCTGCAGGCTTAGGCTACACCTTGAGAACTGCAAAGAAACCTTACTCTCCTAACTTTTTTGTCCTGTTCTTTTATTTTCTCGTTCTGCATCCTTCTTTCTTTGTCCATTCCATCTTGCAATCTCTCTCACATAAGGGCACCTCTCCCTCTGATAGATAGAACTGATCTGGATACATCTGCTGTTCTCTACGGACCAGAGGTCAGGGGTCAGGGAGGTCAGACGTGTCAACTGTGACCTTAATGAAGATGGTATCGTCCTTGATGTAAGTACCGATCTCCAGCACAGTCTGGGCCACGAACAGCGGGCAGCCCGAGGCTATGTTCATCTCTGCCGTTGGCCGTCTGAAGCTGCTGCTGTTGGGGTCTGGTTTGAAGGCATCCCCTAGGTGCTTCCTGGCTGGGCCCTGATCCATCAGCATCAAGGTCACCTTCTGCTTAAAGGGCCAGGGCAGCAGGGCGTCGTACTCGCCACGCATCACCACGAAGAACAGAGACAGGTGTGTTCCCTTCCCCATGCCGTCTCCGTTCAGGTAGACCCGGGCACACATCTTGTAGCCAAAGTAGCCAGTATAGAAAGGCTGGCTGTAAAGAGATAGGGTCTTTGACGCCACGGCTTCTTGTTTCCGCCGCTTGTAGTCACGGATCTTCCAGATGAGCGTCCCATTGAAGGAGGCCGTCTCTAGGACCTGGAAGCGCAGGTCCATGTCTGCCAGGCGGATCTCATGGACGCTCAGCATGTCGTCATGACGGGAGAGCTGTGTCTCTAAAGAACATGCAGAGAAACAATAGCAAGTCAATGGAATAAGAGCCCTGTATGTATGCACCACTCTGGACTTCTCTCTACTCTTGACTAAAAAGCTATTTCAATGGCGATCCCCTTTTATGTCAGTCCATAAAAGCACTGTTTTTTCAATCATTGCTTTGTTCATAATGTAGTTTCAGACTTTGAGCATATCAGATTGGTCCAATGTCACATTACACTTTGAGCAACTCCTAAAAGAGTTCAGGATTACAGGTTTTAGTGGCAGTAAAGTGGTAAAGAATAACAGCATTCACAAGACAAGTGTTGAGAGAGAGAGAATTCAGGGTAACTCACCTAGTGTGTGTGTGGCTGGGTTGGACCCGCCCCGTCCTCCTTCTAGCGTGGCGACCCTGGAGCGGATACTCTCTACGGTTCCTCTGAGTGTCTCTACCTCCTCTCGGACAGTCCTCAGAGACCTCAGCTCTAGCTCCATCTCCAGAAGCTTCTCAGAGTGGGAACTCATCAACTCCTACATGGAAAAACAACCACACACACATACAGTTACACACACTTCCATATAGGGCTGCACGATCAATCACATTTTAATCGAAATTGTGATATTGACATAGGCAATATCCATATCGCATGAGGCTTCGATATTTTGAAACGCCACATAGCCATCCGTTAAGCTCATTATTTAAACTTTTGATTTATTTCTCGAGTTGACAGATTTCTCTCGCAGTCTCTCCTCTTTTGTGCGCTTCCCAATCCCACACACACCAAGCCCCGCCCCCTGTCACTCAAGCAGGCAGAGTTCCTCACGTTCGAGATGCACTCTGCCAGAGATATTAGAAAAGGAGGAGATAAGAATCACTGCGGGAAATGAATGGAGAAACGTATAACGCTCTGCCCATCAGACTGTCGACCAATAACTTTCACGTTGTCATGCTGTGTCACGCAGTTGCTAAGCTAACCTTCACGCAATCCCTTCTAAAAGTCAGGCTAAATCGAGAAACCGACCATTCTTGATACACACGTGAAACTGTTGAGCGTGAAAAACCCAGCAGCGTTGAAGTTCTTCACACAAACCAGTGAGCCTGGCACCTACTACCTACCATACCCTGTTCAAACACACTTACAATATTTTGTCTTGCCCAGTCACCCTCTGAATGGGACACATACACAACCCATATATATATATATATATATATATATATTACTTATTTCAAGGATGCAGAAGTTAAAGGAGTCTCTTAAAGAGGCAGGAATGCAGGACAGTTGAGCCCTGAGGCAATGGTGATTCACAAAAGAGATAAAATAGTTTCCTCTACAATTACTACACCACAACCCAAAGTGCTACAAAGAGCTGAGGAAGAAGTTCTCCCTAGCATCACCAAAGACTCTAAACAAATACCTGGAGAGGTGTATTGGTTATTTTTAAGTGAGTGTCTCAAGTGGCAAATGTTTCAGACAGTCTTTTCAGTGCTTATATGCATAGTCTAGGCAAGGTTTTCCCAAACTCTGTCATCATGGGGCCCCATGGGTGCACATTTTGGTTTTTGCCCTAACACTACACAGCTGATTCAAATAACCAACTCATCATCAAACTTTGATTGTTTGATTCGGCTGTGTAGTGCTAAGGCAAAAACCAAAATGTGCACCCAGGGGAGGCCCCCAGGATCAAGTTTGGGAAACCCTGTTCTAGGCCGATAGGATTTTAGGAATTGTATTAGTATTTTGTGTTTATTGTGTCCTCAGCCAAATGAGGAGGAGTACAGAGCATGACCGCACAAGAAAGAAAGTGCATACTTGTCTTTGATGAGATAACAGTTAAAGATAATCTTGATTACAACAAAGAGGACAGACTCCATAGATGGTGTCTGTTCAGACAAAAAGCCTGCCAGACAGGCTATGGCGTTCATAGATCAGAAGCCTAACGGTAAAATGCAAACAGGTATGCCTATATCATGTTTTCTTTACTTATCTTTCATCAAGACAAAAAAGGACAACCTATACTAATTAACTCCTACTTTTACAGCCAATAGGTTATTTCTTTTCCAAATCTACCATGCCCGGTGACCGTATAGTCTCCCTCATGAAGGAGGCAGTTCATCGCCTTGATGAAGTTGGACTGACTGTAAGGAACACTTTGTCATTAACAAGGCTCTTGTTTGATCATCTGTTTTGACACCTGTTAATGACACCTTAATGACTGTTCAGCACTCATTTCAGTGAATGTGTTAACTGTCTATCTACAAGTGAAAGCAATAACTTGTGATCAGGGGTCCAACAATGTGAAGGCCATGAAGGATCTAGGTGCTTCCCTAGAACACAAGGACAGCTGTCACACAGCCCACTGCATAAACATTGGTCGATTCATCCCCATCATCTTTGATGTACCTCATCTCTTTAAATCAGCCAGAAACAACTTTAAAAAGCATGGACTAGAAGTAAATACAGCTTAGTTCATATAATAGATGATTGCCAATTACTATATACTAATTATACTACCGCTTATTGAGATATTCAATTGTTCAATACGGCTAATCACTATGCTTCTGTCCCTATATTTCTGTCTCAACAGCATCTGGTCATCAGATTTTGTGGTGGCACATCAAAATGTTTTACAACATTGATAAAACAAACAGCTTGAGGCTTGCTCCTAAGCTAACTGATCGGCACATACACCTGCCAACATGAGGGTTCGACTGGCAACTCAAATCTTCAGCCATTCTGTTACTGCAGGTAGGCATTAACTTCACATATCTAATTGATCAAACAATGCCAATGCACACTGTCAATGTAATGCATAATGTTGCTGACTAGATCATCTGCATAACCTACCAATCTACACTGAACAAAAATATAAATGCAACAATTACAATTCATAAGGAAATCAGTCAATTGAAATAAATACATTAGCCCCTAGTCTATGGATTTCACATGACTGGGAATACAGATATGGATCTGTTGGTCACAGATACCTTTAAAAAAAAGTTGGGGCGTGGATCAGAAAACCAGTCAGTATCTGGTGTGATCACCATTTGCCTCATGCAGCGCGACACATCTCCTTTGCATAGAGTTGATCAGGCTGTTGATTGTGGCCTGTGGAATGTTGTCCCACTCCTCTTCAATGGCTGTGTAAAGTTGCTGGATATTGGGGGGGAACTGGAACACGCTGTCGTACACGTCGATCCAGAGCTTCCCAAACATGCTCAATGGGTGACATGTCCGGTGAGTATGCAGGCCAAGGAAGAACTGGGACATTTTCAGCTTCCAGGAATTGCGTACAGATCCTTGCGACATGGGGCCGTGCATTATCATGCTGAAATATGAGGTGATGGTGGCGGATGAATGGCACGACAATGGGTCTCAGGATCTCGTCACGGTATCTCTGTGCATTCAAATTGCCATCGATAAAATGCAATTGTGTTCGTTGTCCGTAGCTTATGCCTGACCATATCATAACCCCACCACCACCAGAAATTATTCGGTTGTGCAAACCCACAGTTTTATCAGCTGTCCGGGTGGCTGGTTGGCGTTACTCTGGACCCTGATCTCTCTTTTGACGAACATATCAAGAATATTTCAAGGACAGCTTTTTTCCATCTTCGTAACATTGCAAAAATCAGAAACATTTTTGTCCAAAAAAAAATGCAGAAAAGCTCATTACATTTACATTTAAGTCATTTAGCAGACGCTCTTATCCAGAGCGACTTACAAATTGGTGCATTCAACTTAGGATAGCCAGTGGGACAACCGCCCTTTTTTTTTTTTTAAATGGGGGGGGGTGGGGTAGGAGTGGTAGAAGGATTACTGTTATACTATTCCAGGTATTCCTTAAAGAGGTAGGGTTTCAAGTGTCTCCGGAAGTTGTAGGGGTTTAATGGCAGAGGCAGGGAGCCCAACCAACAGCGAGTTGCAGTAATCAAGACGGGAGAAGAGAAGTGCCTGGATTAGGACCTGTGCCGCTTTCTGTGTAAGGTAGGGTCGTACTCTGCGTATGTTGTAGAGCATGAACCTGCAGGATCGGGTCACCGCTTTGATGTTAGCGGAGAACGACAGGGTGTTGTCCAGGGTCACACCAAGGTTCTTTGCACTCTGGGAGGAGGACACAATGGAGTTGTCAACCGTGGTGGCGAGATCATGGAGCGGGCATGCTTTTGTCACTTCTAGATTTGACTACTGCAATGCTCTACTCTCGGACTACCCGGATAAAGCACTAAATAAACTTCAGTTCGTGCTAAACAGCTGCTAGAATCTTGACTAGAACCAAAAAAATGTATCATATTACTCCAGTGCTAGCCTCTGCACTGGCTTCCTGTTAAGGCTAGGGCTGATTTCAAGGTTTTACTGCTAACCTACAAAGCATTACATGGGCTTGCTCCTACCTATCTCTCCGATTTGGTCCTGCCGTACATACCTACACGTACGCTACGGTCACAAGACGCAGGCCTCCTTATTGTCCCTAGAATTTCTAAGCAAAGAGCTGGAGGCAGGGCTTTCTCCTATAGAGCTCCATTGTAATGGAATGGTCTGCCTATCCAAGTGAGAGACGCAGACTCGGTCTTGACCTTTAAGTCTTTACTGAAGACTCATCTCTTCAGTAGGTCCTATGATTGAGTGTAGTCTGGCCCAGGGGTGCGAAGGTGAACGGAATGGCACTGGAGCGACAAACCGCCCTTGCTGTCTCTGCCTGGCCGGTTACTGTCTCTCCATTGGGATTCTCTGCCTCTGACCCTATTACGGGGGCTGAGTCACTGGCTTACTGGTGCTTTCCATGCCGTCCCTAGGAGGGGTGCATCACTTGAGTGGGTTGAGTCACTGACGTGATCGTCCTGTCCGGTTTGTCGCCCCCTTGGGCTGGTGCAGTGGAGGAGATCTTCGTGGGCTATACTCAGCCTTGTCTCAGGGTAGTAGGTTGGTGGTCTATTGATATCCCTCCGGTGGTGTGGGGGTTGTGCTTTGGCAAAGTGTGTGGGGTTATAGCCCGCCTGGTTGGCCCTGTCTGGGGGTATCGTCGGACGAGGCCACAGTGTCTCCTGACCCCCCCATCTCAGCCTCCAGTATCTATGCTGCAATAGTCTATGTTCCGGGGGGCTAGGGTTAGTCTGTTATATCTGGTGTTATTCTCCTGTCTTATCCGGTGTCCTGTGTGAAAGTATGCTCCCTCTAATTCTCTCACTCTCCCTCCCAGGACCATGCCTCAGGACTACCTGGCCTGACGACTCCATGCTGTCCCCAGTCCACCTGGTCGTGCTGCTGCTCCAGTTTCCACTCTTCTGCCTGCGACTATGGAACCCTGACCTGTCCACCGGACGTGCTACCTTGTCCCAGACCTGCTGTTTTCAACTCTCTCTCTCTACCGCACCTGCTATTTCAACCTCTAAATGCCCGGCTATGAAAAGCCAAGAGACATTTACTCCTGATGTACTGACCTATTGCAACCTCTACAACCACTGTGATTATTATTTGACCCTGATGGTCATCTATGAACGTTTGAACATCTTGGAGAAAAATCTGTCCTTA